GTTCCTCCATGTCGCCGTGTCGCAGGTGCTCCAGACCAGTGATCTGCGGGCCACCGGGGTACGCTGTTGGACCTGGTCATGTCGCAGAACGCCGGCAGGAAGGCGCGCAGTCGTCCGAGATATCCCATGCTCACCTGCTGAGGAGGGGAAGCTCTTCGGATCCCACTCGGCTTTTGGGATCTCGCCCTGCTGTTGCTCGGGGGTTGGACACAGATTGGGGTAGTAGTGACGCGTATACGGGTCGCAGTAGGTGCCTAAGGCCGGAGAACCCATACATGCATGTGCACCTCTGCGACGTTGCAGTGTATGCGCCTACCTGCGTTGGGTCCGACGGGAACAAACTTGACCTTGCGGGTCGGTTTGTATTTCTTCTTTTTGCTATTGCCGTCATCGGGCTCCTGAGCGTAGACGGTGCTCACGACAGCCCTCCTCGCGTCGCTATCTGTTGCTGCACGGCCTGGCACGATGATGTGCTCAGCGGACGTGCGGTTGATAAAGATCTTGCCAGCAGCGGAAATCACCAAGGGCAGACTAATTCCCAAGAAGAACAGCATGGCTGAAAGGTACAGCTATCAGATCTGACGCTGGGAACGTTGGCGGAGGAACGTTGGAGGAGTGGCGACGTCAACAGGGGCTTTTCTGCGCGAAACTCTCAACTCTCTAACCCGAAATTCGATTCAGACTTATGGTCACGTAGGAGCTCCACAGACACCCATCTTCTCTCTGTCTTTTTGTCGTTCAGGACGGCACAGAGGCCAAAGTCAACGGCGATCTCCTTGAGGAAGTAACCGAAATCAAAACACAGCCAGCACATCGACCATGCCACCTGAGCCACCCCGGCCAGCACACACAGGCAATAGGAGAATCCGCAATTATGCTCGAAACATACACAGAGACTATCACCCTGCACAGTAAGTATCGCCTAAAGCAATCAATACAGGGCTGATTGCTTTAGACGTTTGATTGGTTCATACGCACAAGCGAGTGATTGGTTTGTTTTCTCCGTTTTCTGCGGGGTTTCTCGCCGTGAATGACTAAGCAGAGCCACCGTCCATCAAATTGAATCCTTTTCCCCGCTCAAAACGGCCCTGAACGATGAAAAACCATCCATTCGAATGGATGGGTCTGTCTGTGTATGTATGTATGTAATTCACTCACTCTCTTGGATGGCTGATTTCAGTCTGTTTGTGGAGGGATTGGTTTATGCGGCTCATTTTGCTTGTGTACTATGGGCCTCGGATAAATGAGTGATAAATGGGACCCTGCTTAAATGGGAAAAATCCCTCTATCCGCTATTTTTCTGTTGTACTCCCACGGGGAATGGTATTCCCACGGGGAATGGTATTCCGTGCGGAATGGCATTCCCGCGGGGAGCTCTCGATTCCCTTCTTGTCTTCAGCAAACATTCCAGCGTTGTTTGTCTTCATTAGTCTTTATCAATTTTGCTCCTCGAGGCTCATCCCGGGCTGTCTTTGCCGCATCCCTCACCGAGTCTTCCCCCCCCCCCCCCCCCCCCCC